TCCCGGGACGTCATTCTCCCCTTGTACTCGGCCTTGGTGAGGCCGCAGCTGGAGTACTGCATCCAGTTTTGGGCTCCACAATTCAAAAAGGATGTGGAGAAGCTTGAGAGAGTCCAGAGAAGAGCCATGTGCATGATCAGAGGTCAGGGAAGCAGACCCTACGATGACAGGCCGAGAGCCCTGGGGCTCTTTAGCCTGGAAAAGTGCAGACTCAGGGGTGATCTGATGGCCACCTATAAGTTTATCAGGGGTGACCACCAGCATCTGGGGGAACGTTTGTTCACCAGAGCACCCCAAGGGATGACGACTAGGTCAAATGGTCATAAACTACTCCAAGACTGTTTCAGGCTGGACATAAGGAAGAATTTCTTTACTGTCTGAGCCCCCAAGGTCTGGAATAGCCTGCCACCGGAGGTGGTTCAAGCGCCTACATTGAACACCTTCAAGAGCAAACTGGATGATTATCTTGCTGGGATCCTATGACCCCAGCTGACTTCCTGCCCTTTGGGTGGGGGGCTGGACTCGATGATCTTCCAAGGTCCCTTCCAGCCCTAATGTCTATGAAATCTATGAAATCTAATGACATTCAATATTGATAAATGTAAGGTACTCCACCTTGGGGGAGTGGTGGTGGGGAAACCCGCAGCATGCTTATAGGCTTGGCAGTGCTATGCTTGCTAGCACCATAGCTGAAAGAAACTTGGGGGTCATGATTGACCACAAGATGAACATGAGCCACCAATGCGATGTCGCAGCTGGCAAAGCAAACAAAACTCTGGCTTGTATCCATACATGCTTCTCAAGTAAGTCCCAGGATGTCATCGTCTCACTGTACTCGGCCTTGGTGGAGTACTGCATCCAATTCTGGGCTCCGCAATTCGAGAAGGATGTTGAGAAGCTTGAGAGAGTCCAGAGGAGAGCAATGCACATGATCAGAGGGCATGAGAATAGGCCTTATGAAGAGAGGCTGAGAGCCATAGGACTCTTCAGCCTGGAAAAGCGCAGGCTCGGGGGGACCTGGTGGCTGCTTATAAGTATATAAGGGGTGTACATCAGGATCTGGGACAATGTCTGTTCACCAGAATGCCCCAAGGAAAAACAAGGACCAACAGTCAAAAACTCCTCCAAGACCATTTTAGGCTGGACATAAGGAAAAATTTCTTTACTGTCTGAGCCTCCAAGACCTAGAATAGATTCCCTCCAGAAGTGGTGCAGGCACCTACTCTGGACTCATTCAGGAAATGCTTGGATGCTTATCTTGCTGGGATCCTTTGACCCCTGCTGACTTCCTGCCCCTGGGGCAGGGGGCTGGACTTGATGATCTTCAAGGTCCCTTCCAACTCTAACGTCTATGAAATCTATGAATTTGAATTAATAGAAGGGGAGACTCTTCAATTTCTAAGAAACCATTTTGTTTATGCCACTCTGCTCAGATTTTACATTATTAGGCAGATTTTAGTATGTTTTACAATGCCCCAAGCACCTTGTCAGAGGGACTTTTTTTACAGATAAAGTAATTCTAATCGGAACCCTGAATACACCTGAAATCAGAAGGGATGCCAGCATTACCTCTATGTGCGTTTGATTTTCACAGCACTATCTTGTACTACCTTGCCAAGGGTCTGGACCCACCACCCAGACCACTCTTTTGTTGCTTTCTTTGAGTTAGTGTCCCTTCTCTTCACTGCTAGACCCCTGAATTTTCAGAGTGTGTCAGGTAGCTGCCTCCTCTTTTTCTAGCTATGATGGGGATTGCTGTTGTCTGGCTAAGTACACCAGCTCTTTTAGGATGTCAGAAATTAGACTAAACCCTCCTCTGACAGAGGGAGAAGGAAGAAAGATAGAAATAGAAAGCATGGAAATGTAGAACTGTAACAGACCACCTGCTTCATCAAGTCCAGTTCTGTGCCATCTGAGACCATTGTAATTGACATTTAGTTGTGAAAGGTCTGCAAGAATATTTACTTTGCCTTATTTCACTATAATTGCCCAGGACAAACATAGAATCTTTAATGCAGAAAAATCCTGAGCCTCAGAAAACTATCATGTCCTACAGGAAGAGAGCAGAAGACCAGGGTATGACCAAGGCCTTGGATTCCTGCAATGGCAGGGAATTTGTTAGGCAAAAGTTGCCTAAATGGTTCTAGGAAGTGGATCATGTCCCATGCTGTTGAGAGGCAACCCCTTCCTTCTCCTGCCCTTGCCTTTGACACCCTGATCATAGGGAAAATTATTTCCTGTCCCCAAATGTGGTGATTGTTTAACTTTGACTATGAGTGCTAGGTATCTGTGAGATTTCTTAGTACCGCTAGGAAACACTCCTAGAAGTACTAATCCTTAAATTAACTGGAGATACAAGTTGTACTAGTTCTGAGGGCTTCCTCTAGAATTATTTGCTAATCTGAATGTGGTAACACACAAGTCATCTAGTCCAACTCCCAGGCAGATGCATGAGGCATCTCATGCATCCTGGATGCATCTAATCCATCCTGGATATAGATGTCTATCCAGCCTCTTCTTGAAAATCTCGAATGAAGGAGATTCAGCTATTCCTGCAGATAGTTGAGGAGTTCAGTGCTGCAGGAAAAGAACATTTCTTCTTTCCTGTTGTTTCTACAGGCTGTTTCCTCTTGAGTCCTATAGCTCTGTGGATTCTGGAACAAAGTAACCAAGGTGAAATAGATTCCCACAGCTAGATGGAGAAAGCAGCCACCTGGTACATCATGGAATCACCAGAGATTGGGCACTGGTGTCTAGTAGCAGCCTAGCAGGGAGGGGAGGGCCTCCCCAGAAGGCAAGAAAGGTAAGAATTGGGAGTCCTAAGGCCTGGGTGGTTAGGGACCTCTGAATAGTGAGGTCCCTGTGGGACACAGTTTCCAGAAGATTCAGGTTCTCTAGAACAGTGGTTCTCAACCTTTTGCACCTTATGTCCCATCTACTTAAGGTAAAAAAAAACCTGGTCCCACTGGTCAATGTGGGGAGGGGAAGGGGAGGAGTCCCCCAATGGCCAATCGAAGTGCACAAAAGCAAAACCAGAAGTCCCACTGTGGCATTTCCAGTCTTGCCACCACAACCTGATTCCCACCTAGAGGACGAGTCCCACTGGTTGAGAAACCCCGCTGTAGAACACATACCTCCAAGTGAGCCACAGGATGTCCAAGAAACCCCACACACTTCTCAGCTATGTTAGCAGTAGCTCAGCTGGGAACACTCCAAGTTCCAGTTCATGAACCCATATAAACCAGCCTCTGCAGGATCATTAAGTCCTAGTTATTTTCCTTTTATTGCTGTAAGTTATTGATATTTGAAATGCTGCATCATAAAATGTAGGACAGAGAAGGTGCTCTTTATGCATTCTATTGACCTCAGCCATTGTTGTTTGGGTATGGAGAGATATATAGAGAGGGGAAGGGCTCCAAGGGGACAAGAGATGATGCAAAGAGACCGAATACAGAATAGAAAGCAGTGGGAGAGAGACAGACAAAAAGTTTACACAAAACAAGAGAGAACAAGTGGAGACAACACTGAATGGAGATGCAAAAGAGACAAAGGTCACTGCTAAAATGAAAATTCATGCCCCAAAATAAAAAGTGATTTTGTTTTCATCTTTTGGCTTCCTTTACTCCTCCCTGTTTCTACTTGGCTCTCCATAATCTTCTTTCTTGTTATCTTTCCTACTGCATATCACTTGCCCTTCCTGTGTGCCAGGTATTTATGACCTATCCTCTGGTGTTTTTCTGATTAGAGATAATGATCATTAACTTGTATGCATTGAAGTTAAATTGCATTTGAATATACTTATCACATCCTGACACCTGATATTGACAAAGACATTGCATGCTGCATGTATGGGCGGTGTACTTATTGCAATACATTACCAGAGGGAGTAAATGGAGAGAATTAATGGGCTCTACACAATACTACAAAGATCATTTTAAATAAAAGGAAAATAATGAGTGTATATAGTATGTATCTATAATACTTCAAAACATGCATTAATAAGCTTTGATAAGGTTCCTTTCAGAGAGATTAAAAATATTTGTCTTGTGCATTTATGCTCATTTTACAGAGCTAAACCAAAGGTCAGAGCTGTTAGTAGGCTAATTTTCTGAGGTACTGAGTGCTCCCAGTTCCTATTCAGCACCTCTGAAAATGAGGTCATAAGGTTAGCTCCTAAAAGGGACTTATGTGCATAAAGGAGGACCTACACAGAATTTAGGAACTGAAGTCCAGATCTCCAATCCAAAAAATCTTTGCTTAGCAGCCTGCCAGCTCCATAGACATCTTACTTTTTGACTAGACCCTGGTGCCTAAAGCTGCATCTCTGTGTGTGCCCAGAAGGGCCCCAGTCTTGACAGGGCTGAGTAGCTCAGCTTTTTCTGACACCTAAGCATAATCAGGATCCAAGGAGGAAGTATACCTTTAGTTAAGTCCTCTGAGGGACCTGATTCAGGAGGCATTCTCTGGAAACATCAGGGCTAAGCACAGGCAGTCAAAAAGCCCAAGGCTGAATTGATTTAGTTTATGCAGGTTAGTCTAAGATCCACAGATTAAACTGAAACAGAAATGAATAGACATTTACCTTTGATTCAGGTAATGCAGCAACATGCCTGCAGTGGCTTAGACCAGAAGCCAGGGGGCACTAGAGCACAGCTTTCTGGCATGTGGCCAGCATGGGCTGTGTGTTTGCTTCCTCTTCCTGCTGCCCCTGAAGTCTCTGGGATTTGCAGTCCAGACTCATAGCAGAAGAACTCTGCAGGATTGCTTATCACTTCCTCTTCTTGATTCCAGGTGTCTCTGGGATTTGTACTCCACACTTGCAGCCAGCAGTAAATCTGAGTGAGTGAAGGAATGTTTAACCTTGCTCACTGGCCTCAGCCTCCAGCTGGGGTTTGCCTGGGGGGGCAGTCCCCCCACCCCCCCACAGAATGGACTGTATCCCTACCTGGGCTTGTCCCCCTGTTCACTTGTCAGCCAGCCCTCACTGCTCCAGCTAGGGAGCAGAGGGTTGGGGCCAATCCTTCTCTGCTGGAGCAGACAGCACAGCCCAGCCCAGCCCAGCCCAGCCCAGGACTGGAAAGCATGCTGGGATGCCAGGGGACTGTAATTTAACTTGAACCAGGAAGGGGTATGGGACAGAAGTTTCATAAACTGGCTTGACTGAAATCAGTTAAGTCTGATACTATATTCAACTAGGTTCATCCTAAACCAGTTTCACCCATTTTGAAACTGGTTTATGTGTGTGAGCTTCTGTTTTGTTACAGGTTTAAATCAATTTCTGATCACTTAAACCAGTTTATGTGTGACTTCTGTCCCTAGCCCTAGTCCACAGGATCAGACTCACTAAATGATGCAATTGTACAGGCGATGCTTGCCATTCACGGGGGATACATTCTTGAGATCCCCACGAATGGTGAAATCTGCGAATATGGCACTGCGTTTATGAACACCATGAATGCATTGCCCCCGGAGGCTGGGGGGGGAAGGAGCACGACTGTGCTGGTGGCGGCAGAAGCCTGGCAGTGGTGGGAGCCCTGTAAGTGTATTTAAGATATTTGTGCTAGTTGGAGGGGGAAACGTGTATTTAAGATGCAGGTTTGGCATTCGCAAATATTTGAAACCACCAATGCTGAACCTGTGAATAGTGAGGGTTTCTTGTTGTTGCTTCCTTGTTAAGACTACAGTGGTGGCAATGAAGGTCTTAAATGTCCTAACCAAGTGAAATCACTGGAAAATGAGACACCCAAGTTCAATTCCATCCTCTCCTGAGACTATTCAAAACTACACCTTCTGCCTCTAATGGGAGAGTCCTGACCACCAGGGCTGAGGCTAAAGACACTCTCCGTATCTGGTGAACCTAGACAACTGCACACCAGTGAATTCAAAGACACTCTCCTGGGAGGGTTCCAGTCCTCAGAGACTGTTTATCATAAAGCACAGAAGCAATCCAATAAGCAGGGCCCAGAACTCAGCGCTGCTCCTAGTGGCTGGGACATTTTCTGAGCATTTGAACTCCCTGGCCACATCCAGATTAGCGCAGACATTTGATTCCCCAGGGGCAAATAGCAGCAGCACACCTTGTGCCTCTGCTACTTGTCGCAGGGAATGCCTGTGCCACATGCACTCTGGCACCCCAGATGGGGTAGCGGGGGCTGGGGCCAGCAACTGTGTTGGCCCCAGAAGTCAACGGTCCTGCTATGTGGGGTCCTGGGGGCTGGGGAAGCTGTAGCCATGGCGTTCCTGCAGCTGGGAGTCTGGCCAGCCACTGGAGTGTGACTCTGGTAGGCCAGGCTCTGGTTTTGGGTGGCACATGCTGCTGCCACATGTGCTGCTCTGCTCTTTTTTTGGATGTTTTTGACCCCAGGATCTCCCAGGGTCAAACCCTGCCCCCCATGCTGCAAGATGCTAGTGTGAGGTGCTGCAGACCTCATACCACATGGCCACAATCATTTGGATATGGCCCTTGCGGCAGGAGGGAATTTAACTCACCTCCCCCATTTCCTGGGTGACTGCTCTAATGGTTTCATAAGCAGAGGCATTATGATGACTCTATATTTTAAAAGAAACAGCAAGATATACTCAACTCCAATAGTGTAAGCAGGTATGGGAGATCAAAGCACTAGGCCCCAGTATCAACTTAGAGGGGGAGCCATATTGGTGGCTGCTGCTGCCACCCAGGATCCAAAAATGGCTCATTATACCTTTTCTCAAATTGTGGCAGGCCCCTACCCTCAGGAGAGGATTCTGGACTGTGAAACTCAGATGGATAGAGGCCCTGTCCTGAAAGAGGCACCTAAACTGCAGAGGAAGTCATATATCCCATATTGCAGAAATATTCAGGCCCTCTGCATCTTTTATTTGATAACTCTGAGTGGTTCCCTCTTCAGTGTGTTCGCTGCTTTGTGTCCTATAGATTCATAGATGTTAGGGTCGGAAGGGACCTCAATAGATCATCGAGTCCGACCCCCTGCATAAGCAGGAAAGTGTGCTGGGTCTAGATGACCCCAGCTAGATACTCATCTAACCTCCTCTTGAAGACCCCCAGGGTAGGGG